TCGTATCATACCGGTACGGTACCAGAGTTGTCGTGCTCTCCATATTAGGCAGACCGAACAGGCCCCTAACACGGCAGTGTAGCCATTACAAAACAATATCACACCCAGTACTTTGCACTGTACTCGACGTAGCACGCCGCGCCACCAAGTTCCACGGGAGTAAAGAAAACTTAAGCCGAAAGATGAATTTCTTCAACATACCGGTACTGTGGGTCAATAACGGCAGCAGGAAAGTTGAGAAAATCCATTTCGATCGTGAGAAATATAAACCCCTCCAAATGGTTCATTTATACATGAATGTTGGCTCGAGACCGAGATGAAGAGTTTGCCGAAGTGGTGAAAAAAAGGAAATGAGAGGAAAAAGAAATGAAGGCGGAATAAAAAAGAAACGCAAATGGTTATGATGAGAAATACGCCGGCCGCCCTAAGTCATGATAATATTAACGACAATGATGGTGAACCCCCTCTCCCACCCCGTTCCCCCCTTCCTTCTTTCCTTCCATGCTTCCATCCTTCGGCAAGTTAACAGGAGGAAAGAGGGTAGGTTAGAGGAAAACAAAGCAGAATCAAAAAAGTGGCAAACCATCCAAGGAAAAAGAAAGAAATGACTCAAAACTTCAACCACTGATCGCGACCGAGGCGGGATAGGACAAGCAAGGAAATGTGAAAATGAGCAGCAAAAATTAAAATAAAAAAAAGAATAAATCCCGCTACAAAATTGAATAAAGGCAAGTCAGTCCTCAATGTTTCCATACAAGAAAGTATGGAGAATAGCTAAGTAAGTAAAAGCATACCAAAAACACCAGGCGCCGAAAAAACACCGCTAAACCTTATTTGATCGGGAACCAAATCCCGAAAGAGAGGGGGGGAAAGGCACAACAACACCAAAAACCCCCGTACACGCCCAGCATCCCCAAGCTCGGCCACCGCTGCCACTGTTGCGGTCATGGCCTGTGGGGGCGGTGGCTGTGGAGCGGCCCACATTACGCCTTTGCAGCCTCCGCGGCCACTGCTTCCTCGCAGGTATCGCACTCGTACTCGTGATCGACGTCCTTCGCTTTATATACTGTGCATTTCCCGTTCGCGGTTCGAGAGTTCGCACATGTGACCGTTGACACCGTGTAATGGCCGCAGGTGTAGACATGCGTGAATCGTGTGCACATGGTTGGAGTTCTGGTGCGTTGGGGGGGGGGGGAGGACGAGTTTGGTAGGTTGGTTGGTTGGAGTATGAGCTTTTGGGCGAGTGAAGATTGGGGGGTTGGTATCGTTGATTGTTATAATTGTTATTGCGATTTGCTTCGTGTTCCCGCAAGAGGTTTGTTTGTTGGAAATATGTGCGCGGGGGGCTACGTAGGGGGATTGGTGATTGATGGGGTTTTAGGGTGAGGTTCGGTGAGCCGCGGTAAGCAGGTACAAGCGATGTATAGTATAGCAGATTGTGTTGTGTATGGAGGCAGGCAGACAGATGAGCAGGTAGATATGTAGGTAGGTGGTGGTGGTGGTTGTTGTTGTGGGGTTTCGGATAAGAGTAAAGAGCTCGTGGAGACGTAGTTATCCAAGTGTTATCGGAGAGTCTTTTCTTCTTCACAGTAATAGAGAGGAAAGAAGGGAGGGAGCGGCCGTTTTTTTTTCTTTTTCTCGCTCACTCGTTTCCGCTTTCTTCCAATTCCCTTTGTCGTGGGGAGGGAAGAAAAAAAAAGTAAAAAAAATTGTGCGTGTAAGTTTGATATTTCGCAGAAGGGCGAGAAAAGAGTGCGACAGCGAACTTTATAGATAGGGAGCCTCGAATAAAGGAATCGCAACTTGTCGCAGTCAGGGGAAGGAGCAGCAAGGATAGCAGCAGATCGCCCGGGAAGCACAGATGCTGGCTACAGCAAGAGGTGCGGAGTGGGGCTCCAGGCGAGTGAGATGGGTGAAGCTCGTTGATAGGTTGTGCTTCTGCCCGGATTTTTTTAGCGTGAGCACAGGGCGCAGGTTTAAGAACGGGTCAACAGGGAAAAGGGCCTCGGAGGGTCCTAACGGTAGAAAAGAAAAGAAAAGAAAAAAAGCGGAGCTCGTTGAAATGCAAAGAATGGGGGATAAGCTAAAGAGGGGGGGATGTTATCGCAAGGGCGGGGAGGAGGAGAAGCGAGGCGCGAATAGGCGGAAGTTGAGAGCTGTCAAAAGGAGTCGTTTTCTGTGGGAAAAAGTGCAGATAGATGATTGATGACCTCAAGATTGCTCATTGGGAGGGGGGGCGTTTGTGGGGAGAGGGAATCATGTCCTATCTTATATACTCACTCGAAAGGGATCCCGAGTTCGCGGTACCGGCCCGTTTTTGGCAATTGTGTATTTTATCTTTATTTTGCTTGCTCTCTTCTCCGTTTTCGTAGATTCTTACTGTCCTGTTGTTGATTCGGTGTTCCGGTTCTCTGGTGGAGGTGTCCGGTTACCATGAGAGAACGACGGAGGTACTGGATACAGTGCGCGGATCCACGACATCATAGGGTGCCTTCAAGGAACCCTCGGCCATATCAGAATTTACCGTGTAAGTATGATACTATAGCTAACGTGGCTAACAATCTCTTTTTACTTAACTTATACCGGTTATTCACGACTCATCGACCTACCGTACTTTCTTCTTCCAAAGCCACCACGTTATCCTATTCCTACTTTGCTCTCCTCTGCCAAAGAATTAAATGCAATACGAGACGACGTTCAGTCTACAAGACATTGGTTTCCCTACCCCCCCCCCCCCTCGCTTTTTCTTGTTGACTAACTGACTGGTCCGTCCCTTTCTGCTGAAGTGGAAGACCTACGAAAAGCCTCATGTGGGGGAGAGGGCATTCATACATACATACTACATACATGATACATACATACATACACACATCCCCCTACATTACCTCTGCACCACTCAGAAGTCACGACAGACCAAGCCCTGAAGGGACCACCAACTAAAATGCTACATACAAAACGATATCTTACATTACGGTACCGGTAGTCGACTGCCCATTCCGTCTGTCCGTCTGTCTGTCAGCTAGGCGGCGAGGGTGATGTCGGCTATCCCAAGGAAGAAGGGAGAGCATACCGGTAGCATACCTATGTATGGCAGATGAGAAGGAAGGGGGAAAAAAAGCACCGGGATTCTGCTATTTGACACAGCTTTTTGTACTCGTACTAGTAAACACGCCGAGAGCCAACGAACAGCAGATGGCTGGGCCAAGGATACTGTATGCACCTAGAGCTGTATCTATTGACCCTAGTCTAACTCCCACATTCGCAAGGTCTCACCCGAATCAAGACGCTTACATGCCGTCCTTTTTTCTTTTCTCTTTCTCTCCCTTCCTCTACAATACCTCTACCCAAATCGTACAGCTGGCGATCCTTTAGCCGTTTCGCTCATTCTTTTCCCCATTTATTCCACGGCCACCCCCCCACCCATTTTTTTTTTTGAAAACAAGTCAGAATCAATTGGAATATTTAATGGTTGGCCTACCTGGGAAAGCCCAAAGCCACAAGTAATTTTCCGCACCGGTAAAGTGTTAGTTATGAAGCAGGTGTCTAGCATTCACCGCAAATTGACTAACCTTGAATGAGAGACGGATGAGTGGATGACATTGCTCGCGGGCATGGGAAAGGGTTTCTCCTTTCTTTTCTTTTCCACCTTGACAGGCATCATTTTAGGAGGCGCGCAGCCGAGGTCGACCAACTCTTTAGAGATCACACCGATCTTTGCCGAGACACCTCGAGGCAAAGGGAAAAGGACAAAAGTATCATAATAAACGCGATCGGAACAACTCCTCCGGATGAACGGGGGGAAGCTCCACTTTGCGAATTGCTCAGTTGGCGGGCCCATGTAAGGTAACGAGAGAGAGAGGGAGAATTGCGATGCAGAGTAATGTCAGGAAGGGGTTGCTCACAAACCGTTATGGGAGACTTTTTTGTTGTGTGGTGGGGGGCAGTTGGCTGCTGGCAGTTGGACGGGTACTCTACCCTTTGCTTGCTTTCCCACTCTGGTACAGACGTGTGTGTGGTTACATGTACCGGTAGGCCAATTTCAATGTGCTCTACTGAGTCGATCCAACTGCAAACAATTTTTTTTTATTCCCTCCCCCTCTTAATGTTAGATTCACTAGGGACCGAATGACCCGATCTGTGAGTGTTATACTTTTTTTTTCTTTTGAGTTTGGGAAGCTTCAAAGCGGAAATGACTTTGTTAGGCAGGGACTGAAAAGGAGCGCTGAACAAGGTCTATTCCAGGGACACTTGCCTCGGTAGAATTGGATACTAGACAGAGGTCGAAGGGCAGCTGCACTGACCACAATCGATATAGTACCGTACCAGTACCGTACGTGCTTACTACGACCGGCACGAACCGGTGTACCCATTTATCCCCAAATTTGGTATCACTGATGAGGGACACAAAATCCTGGAATTGATAAAAAAGGTCCAGTGCTGTACTGTACAGTACATGGTGACTTATTCGGCCATCGAGGGTACAGTACTCGTACATACCCACCGCCAGCTGCCTGCAGATAATACATATCAGTACCCGTTCCGAACGCCGAGCGACAGCAATGCATGCCGAATTCCTCCCGAGTTATACACTTGACAGGCGAAGCCGCGGAGAGTGGAAACGCCACCATTCGGTTATCATGTACGAGTACTGGCCCAACTGTGGTAAGATTCCTTGTCTATCAATATTCGCGTGGAGTGTGTGATGCGACGTCCATCGAAACCTATATATGGATTATAGGAGGGAGGAGGGGACCGGGGGGGAAGGAACCGCTAAACCCCTAGGACGATCGACTTCGAGTATCATACGAGCAGAGTTGTATAGTACGAAAGTAGCAACCCATGTGGAACATCAAAGCTCGTCTGCTGGTGAAATTGGCAGATCCCGCAGCGGGTGGCCAAAGAGATACGAGTGCTCAATCATACCCTAGACGCAACAAATTGAAACTAAAATAGAGTAAATAATTCCTCATACCCTGAGTATGTGCATTGAGTGCCGGTAGAGTACGGGTTACATACGGATTAAAAACAAGTATCGTAACAGCGGGAAAAAAGAAAAAAAAGAGTATAGGGTTCGCACCGCTTTTCATTAAACTTTTGATCTCTTCCTTCCCTTCCTTGCTCGCGGTGAATCGCGTGATGTATTTAGCATGTCGGTTGGACCGTGTCATACAGTACTAGGGAGTGCTTGAGTCCCGGTACAGTGCCTTGCACGGATTGTCATGGCGCGGCCACCCCGGGCCCTAGGAGATATCTTCCCCGATGAGGTACTTGTAGGCTCGCGCCTGTTCGCTCGCAGCCAGGAGTATTATTATTGTTATTATTACTATTATTTCTTTTTCTTTTTTTGCCTTTTTTTATGTGCTCAGTCGACATTCTAACACATTCGGAGTATGGAAGATTGGGCATCCTTACCAGGATATACGCAAGACTTGTGACAGTGCTTATGTCAAAATGTACATATACTGTGCTCTTTCCCTGGTTTTCGAATAACGGGCTGATTGGTGTGGTTCTTCTCGGCAATCGAGTGTCCCATGTCGATGATTGGAAGCTTCAAGCGGAAAAGACAAATGTGTCAATCGATCATGCAGTGAATTTTCTTTCACATACCATACAGAGGGGTATATACGTTTCATCCTTTCCTATCCACCCCACCCCCGGCCCGGTCCAAGGAATGTATGCACGTCTTATTTGCACATCGGATCTTTCCCTTCTTTCCCTAATAGAATATGAGAAGGAGGAAAAAAGGAAAGAGGAAAAAAAAAAAGAAAAAGAAATGTGGAACATCACTTCTCAACAGTTACCGCTGTTAACGTTTTTCTGCGATCATCACGAAGAGAAATCTCCCGTGAAGGACGCGAACACACCGGGGTATTATTCGTGGAAGCCGTCCAAAATTTGCAATTGTCATATCTAGAGGGAAAAGAGCTCGTGATTCTTGCAGTACTGTATACGGGTAGGGTACCGGTCCAGTACCGGTATCGGAAACCCTACTGGTAGGGGTATAATATCTTAGTGAGTGTAGGATCTTTCTTTAGCCCTGCGCTGCGCTACCCTCGTGAGCGGTCACTAGGTTTGCTGATCCCTTGGGCCAGACTTTGCACTCAATCTCTCCCCGCGAAGGTTAACTCTAGCTGCCCGCTTCGCGACAGTAGGGGTATGGTATCGGCCCATTCGAGATTTTCCATAAGTGACCTGTGGGAGGAGAGGGATAAGTTAATCACCCTCAGGTCGCCATTCCCCTCCATCTCTCCTTCCACTTGGCAAATGCAGACATGGATTCTTTGCGAGAGGGCAAACCCCGACATCAACAATGTGGCCTGTTCCCCTTCGACGGTGAAATCTGGAAGTCATAGGACATGAGGCTGTGAAGAGTTTTTTTTACTCCTTACTGTAACGTTTAACCGGGTCAAAAGAGGGAAAAAGAGAGAGAGGTGTGGAGAAATAAGGAGAGATGGGGTGCTCGTGTAGAGAGTTTGTGGCACGAGCCTTTCCCCCTTCTTGTTTTGCTTGGTGTGTTGATGAGAGCAATGGTTCAAACATGTTGTATCGGCTGGTTACCTTCGTCAACAAACGTGGCCCCGCAGGCGTTATTCGAGTTTATGGTAACAGTGAGTTGAACCGTCGCACCCCGTATTGTGCGGTTAGTTCCACGCACAACCTCCACCCCCACAACTGATTGATCTCCATGATGGAGGATCAGAAACCCGATACTGCACATAGATACCGAGCACACCTTCTCTGCCGAAGTGGAGAGGGGAGAAAAAGAAAAAGATGAAACCTCCCTTGCGATACTCACAAGGAACTAATCACGAATAATCTGTGGCACCTGACAATGTTGGTTTAGTCCTATATTCCCCGGATTTGCAGAAAAAACAAGCCACAGCGGTACGCAAAAAAAAAAGAGGGTGGAAAAAAGAAAATATTCAAGATAACGTCTTGCACATCCGGCAGTAACCCTTGTTCCCCTTCTCCTCCTATTTCTTTCTTTCTTTTTTTTCTTCTTTCCTTTTCCCCTACGGTAGGAGAAAAGGAAAAATCCTCCTCAAGTCAAATTAGAAAACCAGCCAACTGGCTCTCGTTATTTACGGTGCTCTCGCCGTATAGTACTGCACGAGTACAGGCAACGTTGTGCTCCTCTTTTTTATTATCGTTGTTATTTGAAATGTCCCTTGATAGGAGCGCCTATCGCTGATCTCAACCTGCATCTCCGGCATGCATGGTATTGCATGGTTGAAAAGGAAAAAAAAGAAACAAGAAGTGCTAGGAAAGCCATGTTTTTCCTGTGCCACGAAAGATCTTGCTACATCCCCATTTGTCTCTTCGAGAGTAATCTTGTCCGGATGATTTGTATTTTCTTCTTCTCCTGTTACCCCCGCATGAGGGGTCCTTCTCTCTCTTGATGCACCAGTATGATACGGAACGCAACGTGAGACGCTGATGCAGTAGGGAAGGTTTACGAAAGAATGAGGGAGAATGAAGAATTTGTCGTAAGGCGACTAAAAAACAACAGGAAAAACAAAACAATGGAGAGATAGCTAGAAAAAGAATATACTCGAGTAGAGAGAGAGGGGTGAAGAGATCTGCCCTTGTGACTTGCTTCTTACTCCTCTTCACTCTCGACTCCGAACGCCTTTTCTTCTTCATCTTAATTACTGCTGATATTACCTTTCTCCCTCCTATGGTGCCGTACTGTACTGTACGTGACTCGAGTATGACAGCGCGGTATTTCAAATAAACCCTCTTGAACAAAAAGTGCATGACGATTCATCAGACTATACTCTTTGGAACTTACCCACCTACCGTACTCTATGAAGAGGAGAATTGAGGCAGGTTAAATCAAGCAAGTGATCTAAGGTAGATCTCATCGGACTTAAACCTCAGCCCAGCCTCAGAGGCTCTTGAGGCTCTCCTTCTCGCCTCCCGGCGCTGAACATGCAATACGAAATTCCAGGTTACCCCTGCAACCTCTCTGATGTGATGAGCTGAAGTTACGATTTTCACCTATTCTCTCCATCCGTCTGGACCGTTGAGGATGCTTGCAAGCAGTACGGTATAGCGGTCTAGCATGATCGGATAGACCTCTCTGCTTCCCCAGCTTCCCCCTTCTTCCGCCCCTACAGTATGATACCTCTCATCCCTCCAATGGTCATGCCAGCACCCCGCAGTTGCAAATGTTAGGCTGATTATAGGCTGCATCTGGGCAGGTAGGCGTGCGTGAAGGGAAGAAGAGAAAAAGGAAAACCGGCCTGAATCCTGCGGATTTTCTCTGCATGGAGTTTATACTAGTACAGTGCTCGTACCAGGTTTTGATCAGACTGCTCGTACTGTGGTCGATATTGACCAGACAAACGTACCCTAGCGCGGTATATACATTAGCGTCTACCGGTATCTTATCCCGTCCCCCACGCACAGTCGAGTACGATGCTCGTACATCCCCGCCTCATCTCCCCTGCCTCCCGCTCCTCCCCTTCTCCTCATCCTCGAGAAACGGCTTCCGCAACCACCGTATGCCGGCACTCCAGCACTGATAGAGGGGCTACGTATGCTCCACCTAAACGAAAACCTCCCTTAAACAGAGTCATTCAACCCCGGGTTGTAAAAGCATTCTTCCAAGTTAGTGCCAAGCTTCGAGAGTATCTCGCATATTTGCATGCGAAAAGGCGTTACACAGGCCGAAGCCCTTCAACTCGAAAGGCTTGCAAACACCGTTTTTCAATCGTGGGGGCTGAATCCCTTTAATTCTTTATTTTTTCAGTCTTCATATCATTTCTGATCCATGGCCAACCAAGCACGGTTACCCCTCGCTCCGGCCCCCTTCCCCTCCGGAGCCACAAATCAGCTCACCAAATAAGCATTCACACAGGTATAGGCTCGGCATCGTCCCGCATTACCAATAGCCTCGCGAGTCACGGAGTCATCCCCATCGACTGACTGGGTAGGAGGTGTGGATGGTGAGATAAAATAAATAAAAAACGCCTTGATTTGCAGATGCTACTAACCTTATTGATTCCACCACACACATTATTTCCTGATCACATCCGTGTAACCTGCAGATCACCCGCCCCTCCCTTTCCTCCTCCTTACGGTGCTTGGCAGATTGTTGTTTCAAGGAAGGAAGGATGATGGAAGGAGGGAGGGAAGGATGGAAGGATGGAAGGCGTGATGTGTTGCCTGAGGCATGAAAATGGAAAAAAAATAAAAAAAAGTGTCCGCCAACTGAAGTGTAGGGCATAGAGATGGGGTGGGAGTCACATGGTGAGCGGGATTAGCGGAGGGCGAAAACAGAGCTATTCCATATATGTCGGAATCTTGGAAAAGGGCTGATTAGCCTAAACGGAGGTGGTTTGTGAGGAGGGGGGGGAGTTTCTTGAGCATGGGATCTACTGTACTCGAGTACGCGGGCGAAGGAAAGAAGCAATCCCCCCTCTTTATTGCGATACTGTGGTACTGTGGTGCCATCGGGATTTCCCGTGCCGACGTGCGTATCAGCACAGTATCCAAGTCTTCGCTACGGTATGCTATGACTACATTCTGCTTCCCTTTCATGTAGCTTAGCAAGCTGGCTTCGCACGGTTAGCTTTGTAGCTACCGTAGTCGACCTAAATACACAAAAGAGCCCAACCGGGATGCGAGGGGTGCAGTGCAGGCCGGTCATCACCAGCGACGGTTTTTGACGGCTGTACTCAAGATATGTATCAACACAGCCATTGGGTAGCACAGTACCGCAAGCTGACCCGCAGTGGGCTCCTCATCGCAATCGTTACGATATCCGTACTCGCATAGCACTCGCGCAGCGATCAGTTCAGGAACGGGGCGTCAAGAGCATGGTGGCTAGCTAGGCAGCCAGCGAACGCGAGACTCTTTTTATCCTTTTCTCCCGTCGATCTGATACGACGCGCTGGACGGGGCTGATCGAGCTGAGATGATACCCGATATTGTGCCGGCTTATCATCTACAGTATGACGGACTAGCTTGACTTGACTTGGTCCTATCTCGAGCCATGTTTCAGTTGAGGACGGAAACTTCCGCGAAAGCAAATCACCACCACCACGACCACAACCACAACCGCTAGCACCGCGGAGAATTGCTTGCTCGATCTGTCCCACCTGCGCACGACGACGGTGGACGGGAAAATCGTATCACATCGTATCATATCATCCTCCAGGACATTTTTTTCTTCTTGCTTTGGTTTGTTTTCGGTTTGAGTTTCACCGAGTTACATAAGCATCTCTCGCCTGATACAAATCTTTACCCCCGAAAAAAGGAAAAATGCTAAGCAGTCCAGGGAGAGAGAGAAAATCGGATGGCAAAATCGTGGAACGAATTATACCTCTCCCTCAGAATTTTGAGGAAAGAATTCGATCAACATTGGTTGGTTCTAGACCCACGCCCCCATAGGTATGTCCTACCGGCAGTCTAGCGCATGCGCGATGGGCACCATGGCAGTGTATTAAGGCTGTGAGGTAAGTACTACACGCAAGGTACGGTGCAAGTGCGACGCGTATCGAACCTGTCCGCCGCCGTGATGTGTGAGGGAGAGGCTCGAATGCTCGAATGTGCCGTACAGTACAGTACAGTATCATACTACGCAGTAAAATACTGTAGCCCTGCCTGAAGACGTTCCTTGCAGGGAGGCAGCGCACATTTTGTCTGCCTACTGAGTACGGTGGGTGGACTAACCTACCGTGATCCGCCCCATCGCACTCTCCCATCGCTTCAATCAATGGCGGTCGCGATAACCTGGAGAGAGTGTAACTGTATGCATAGTATTATATGCCCGCGCTATGCTATGCTAACTTACCCTAACCCATCCTCTCAGTATTGCAAAAAAAGAAAAAAAATTCCTTTTTTCCCCTTATATTGCTACTAAATTTACTATACTAGACTTCGAGTTAGTTAGTCAATTATCACCACAGTGCCGTATGGTGCACACAACGAACCATTTTCTTTGTATCCATCATACCATCTCGATCCGTAACCCGATGTTTTCCCCTCCCCCCCCACTTCACAAAATATCGACCCTTTTTCACACTAGCGTGGATTTTATTTGCCTAAAGAGGGTGCTTTATTTGATCACTTTGTTCCTCCCAGATATCCCCGATTGATAGGAGGTATTAGGAACAACCCCTTGATCCGGAATCAAACCCCGCCGTTTCTCGGGGCGTAAGGGAAGGAGGGAGAAAAAGAAAAAAAAGCCTCAGGTATGATAGGAAAGGAAGCGGAGTGGTGTATATCCCATTAACCCGAGTCACGATTGATCACTCGCTTCATCCCAGGTCCCCCCCCCCCTTCTTCCCCCCTGCTGGGTATGATATAAACAAAGTATGAAGTAAGGGTGTGGCTGTCCCCCCCCCCTTTTCTTTTCGCATGCATGAATACTTCTCTGAGATCTCCTTGTTTCGCGGAATCGTTGGTGGGTGATTGTTGTTGGTGTCTTCTTTCCTTTTATATCTTTTTTTTTCTTTTTATACCCACACCGGTGGACGCGTTTTGGTGTTAAATTAGGATGGATTAAATACGAGGAGGGGGGGTTCAACATACGAACGGTACTTTTGGTTCCTTTTCCTTCCCTTTTGCGATTTTTTTTTAGCACTTGGAGTACACCCTCAGGAAGAGGGATCGCCGGATAGACATCATACCTGATATCAGAGATATAGAGTGAGCTAGAAAATGTGCCGGGAGATGCCAGAATTTACTGGCAGTCAGAGTCGTGGGAATAAATTCCCTCCGGGCGCTGCGCTATACTAT